CTCTTGTGGTTCAAATGTTTCATTTACGAATTTAAGTGGATCTTTACTTCTTTCTCGGCTATTAGTGCGATCGGACGTGCTCATCTAGGACTGTTTGGTGAAGGATTTTGCCACAGTAATGTTTGAGACGTTTTATCTTTTAATCCAAGAGGCACATTTTCGCAAAGATGTTGATATCGCGCATTGGATTATTCACTGATTTATATACCACCATTGTTCCTGCCCCATCATGCCCTGTCTTTTTCTTGTATGATAAGCTGTTTGGAACTGAAATACCTTGTTCTTTCAATGATATAATTAATCGTTTAACAGTTAAGATAGTCGTTTCTTCCCGCTGTTTCACTAGTATTCCTCTTTTATCACAATATGGATTGATTGTTGGTACCAGTCATTTACTAATCTCGCGGATTCTATTTCGATTAGGTATGTAAACATGCTCGTGTAAGAATGGTTTCATAAAATCTGCATCGTGCGTGGTGAGATTCAGATTGTACTTTAATGCTATCGTTTGATCGAGATTTAATGAAGTTTTTGTTTCGATGATATTCGTGTTATACAATTCTTCTCCTACTTTTGCTAAATGTTTGTCGTCATTGTAATTTCTTTGGTATAATGAATAGCCAAGTAATTGATTTATTGGAGTATTATTCGAATTAGAGAAATCGTCTAGTACTTCGTTCAATGTAGCTAAACGACGCCTTTTTTGACGATATTCCAAGTCCAAAAAACCTTTTAATACATGTTTCGGTGGTTTGGATCGCTGACGTAGACTTGATTTATTTAATACAATGGTAGAATAATTTTTTTCTCGCCGCTGAATGTTACACCTTCGCCACGACTCCATATCACTTTTTTTTCTCACGGTATAATGGTAAATTCGATCTGAAATAATTTTCTGGTTTTCTTCCGATGTATCAACGTCGAACCACTCGCAAATTTTTGTACATGTAGCATCGTTATCTTTTTGCGAATCGTTACAAAATTGATGTAATGTCATTTCTGTATTTTTAAAATCATTCGATTTTGTTGTGTTGAAGAAGGTTTTGAAGTATTCATGGTTAATGACAGATTCGTTTGTATACTGCTTCAGACTCACAAATGCTGGGCCAATGCATGGGCGATTAGCAATGTACCTCAGACTCTTCTATAAGTTTGATGTAAAACACTAGACTCACAAAAGAGTTTAGTCCTAGTTGACTACCGTGCTATCCTGTAATACATAGGACCCTCTTTAGGGACGAATTTATACGAATCCTTATCAACCTGCTGTTGCCCTGTGCACCATTCCCCTACGCAATAAGAATCGTCGTTAATGGTTGTTGTTGTTGTTGAATCCTTGACATGGTGGTCGCTTCACGCTTCACAGGGGCGAATATAGGATTCATGCTTCGACAAGAAGTGATGGCCTCGAAATAGTTCTCAACAGCTGCAATCCCGAGAAGAAAGCCAGAAGGGATGATCACGAAGAACCTTTGCGTTGAGTAACGAAGCTGTACCCTTCCCTTCACGATTCCACATATCTTCTAAAATAAAAAGACGATTTTCACATAGTTTAAGTTCATTGCAGATCCATAGTTTAACGTCATTGCGGACAAAAAGTTGTCTGGATCGAAATTTGATGAATGTGCATGCTGATAATTAACCGAGAACCTTTCGAAAAAAATTTTCTTCAGATTTTTGATATTTTATGCATCATTCGACCTAGTTTTTTGCGTTGATTCCAAATATCGTATTTATATGGAATAAAAACCTTTCTAGACTGAAAAATGGAAAACACCTGAAAAACCATGGTATTTTGGAAAACCTGCTGTACGCTTCAGAAACAGTTGCGCTAATTTACGCTAACACAGATGATAGAGGGAAGCTAGAAGAACATTTTGTCAAAGTTTGAACGAGTTTCAAATTGGAATGTGAAGGGGGCGCTCATTTTACTGAAAACAGGTGTTCGAAAAACCATTAAGAAAAAACCTTTATTTTTTTCTCAACAATATCAAGTCGAAATTAAGAACTTTTTTACTAACAGATAATAAACGATGTGCAGATCCGGAATTTACACTTTATTTGCTTACCAGTTTGTTAAGTTTTGTAAAAATTTCATTTTCTCACAGATACTGCTGTTTTCAGGCCAATTTTTTGATTGGCTGATTTTCCAGGCTACATAAGCTTTATAACAAAACTTTTTATGCCGTCAGATAGAGCATGTTTCGCAGTATATTTATCGCTGTTTGAATCAATGAAAGGTCGACTTTCTTTTTTTCACCTAATGTTCGCCTGGATGCACACTGTGCCCCTCCGTCCTTAAAGTGTCCAAACTGGAAACAAGCAGATTAAAAAAAAGTAAAAAGTCCTTGAGATAAAAATCTGCTATTAACAAGGAAGACAGCTGAGACTTAGGGCTATCGACTAGTAAAGAAAATGTCTTTCAGTCTATCTTCTTTCATGAGATAATGACACTAGAAATGTTTTGTCTGTGTTGTACAACTGCATTTGAATTGAAATAGAAAACCAGAGAAAATAAAGATTTTATCTTGTTCATATTTAAAGAACCGCTTATCAAAAAACAATTTGTATCACTTCACTGAGTCTAGAAGATTCGTCCTACAACGTGCAATAGACTAGTAAACAGATGCTGGTAGATGCAGTAGATGCGTCCGTCTCATCACATATTTTTCAAGGCAGCTCTGATTTTTGTTTTATTCTTTCTGTTACCTTTTCCACTGAGATGTTAGATCAATGCTACAGAGGTTGGCAAAAAACAACTCATTATCAGCAGATGAGTCTTGTTATAAACGAATGACGATTTCTATGTTCTAATGAATATGCACATTGGGTTTTCAGTACAAAGGTATGGGTTTTACTTTCTCTAAATATGGTCCACTAAACAATCTTCTTTTTCTGAATAAATTTGAAAATATAGACAATGCAAAACTTTCCGCACTGTATAGAGACTTCTTGTTGAATACATAAAAAACACACAAACGTTTCTAATTCCAGCTGTGCTACTTATCACTCTCATACGTCTTATCATTTTTACTCGTGCATTAGATGTTTGCCTTCTGTTCTTTTTCTTTTTCATTCTTCTCTGCTACCTCTCTTTTGGTGTTTACGCCATACACACATGTTACATCACCAACACAGTCAAAGTGACATCACGGGCTTCTCTCTCTTTTTGTTCTGTATTTTT